ATTCGAGCCGATCGGAGTCGAAAAATCGAGGTAAAGACATATTACTTGACTGATTGAGCGTGGTTTGAGGTAAGTGACTATTCTAACCTTGTGTGGGGGAATTCCCCTTAGGGTTGGTATTGATATAAAAATGTTGATGTGTTGAAAGTCGTGTACACGAGGTGACGAGTGTGTACACGGGCTAAATATGGACGATCATGTCTTTAAATTGTGTAGACCACTGTTGCATATTAATTAAATTATTTTATTATGTTATATTCATCATCATTAATATATTTTCGTATTTTAAATTTGTCTGACCTGTTCCTGCTAAGTGTTTTACGTGTTTAGTTGAAACTTTGTTTCTTTTGTTCCGTGCATTATTTGAAGGTTGAATTTCTTAATTTAAATATTATTAAAAATAAAATATTTTACATTTAAAAATGTGATGTTAAGTCAAGATGTTAAATTTGTGAAATGTTATTCTGTTGAATATTTTGCGAGACTTTGTATCCATTGTGATTGAGCCGCGAGCTCCTTATTGTGGAAAATATTCTTGTTGTTGATTTATTTTGGCAAGTTAAAATATTTGGGCACTTGAGATGCAAATTGTGATATATTGTGATATTGATACGCATGCGGTGGTATAAGGTCTAGGTGTTGAAACGCATGCAGTGAGATAAGGGTGGCTTGATACGCGTGGCTAGTAGGGGAACTACTAGAAGTCATGCGGTGTGATAAGGGTGGCTAAAACGCGGGATGCTATTTCGGAAAAAATATTTTATTTAAAATTAAATGTGAAGGCTCCCGCGATGATATAAGAAAATGAAATATTGTGAATTTATTTATGATTTGGGACTACGAGACGGTACCTCGAGAGTGCCCTTGTTGATATTTCTTTATGGTTGTGTTGCCTTTGGTTATTTTTGGTGTTTTTCTTAAAGTTGTAAATTCATGTTTTCCTTCCGCGATATGTTAATTGCCCTTATTCTGTATAGTTAAATTGTGACATACTACTTACTTAATTTATCCCCATTGTCATTATTGTTATTATATTGTTAAACTTTTCTCCTTGTCTTTTATTATTTCAGTAGGGCCTCACCTGACCTCGTCACTATTCTACCGAGGTTAGGCTTGGCACTTACTGGGTACCGCTGTAGTGTACTCATACTACGCTTCTGCATATCTTTTTGTGGAGATCCAGGTACATCTTATCAGACCAGGCATCAGTGAATTATCCGTACGAGAAGACTTCGAGGTATATCTGCTAGTGTCCGCAGACTCCGGAGTCCCCTTCTATCTTATTATGTTGTCTTTCTTATTTTCTTTAGATTCTAATGTATAGAGACACTTAGAATAAATTCTTAAAAACTTGTGATTTATTCCTACCGGGTTTTGGGAGTTGTGACTATTTGAATCGCGGTTTAATTTATTTTATATGTTGAAATTTGAGTTTCAGTTTTGTATTCCGCATAATTAATAGGCTTACCTAGTCGTAGAGACTAGGTACCATCACGACATCCTACGGAGGAAAATTGGGGTCGTGACATGCATCTCGAGATCGGCTCACATCGGCCCGGTACCGATGAGGCTTTTTCGACCTTAAAGTCGATGACGGTAGAGCACCCTACCGGAACGAATTCCTCAGGGTGGGGCTCCGCCGCATCCTCACCGTCGGCAGGTCGTGATGAAGAAGCGGTTTCTTTCTGCGGCACTGTTTTGGAGGTTTTCGCCATTGATGAACAAGAAAAAAGAGAATTAGGATGATATGCGGTTTAATTGAAGTTCTAGAAATTTAGGTCTCAAATTATGAAGTAAAATGATTTTTTTTTTTTGAGGAGATACAAGAATAGAGAAGAAGCTTTGAGTGTAAAGTTTGAATGAGAAAAGATTGGGCTCTTATAGGTGGTTGACGACGATTCGGAACCGCTAATGGCCGACCAACGACTGTCAGGTATTTAATGCCCTGGTAACTAGACCGACAGGACGTTTTGTCGCATACGTCATAATCGGGCTCGTCGTTGACGTCATTACCCATCAAGTCAGAGTTCGAAAATTCATACCGTTTCTCGTCATCTTCTTTTCGAGAAACGATGGGACTATCTGTATACGGTCAAAACCGAGCTTGCCCTTCATATGACTAATTGAGATTGGAACATGATAGATCAAGGTTCAACTTCGTGTAATATCAAGCTATGATGCAAAGATTGAGACCAAGCAAGTGCATGATCGGCCAAGATCGAGACCGAACCAGAAAACAAAAAAGCCGGTATATCCGTAATTAGGGCGAGCATCTCGGCGGAAATCCCGATGCATATCAAGGAGAGACCAATTAATTAATCTATCATGAAATTCCTTATGTATTTAAAATTATAAACAAAGTATGACTTTCCCACTATATAAATGGAGTTTTGCTCATTTGTAGAGGACATTGGGAGGCAATTAAAACAACACAATTACCTTCTTTGAAAGCTGAATTATTTTGTTACTCTGTTCATATACTAGCAGAATACTCACTTGTTTCGAGGATGACCGAACTCGAAGGTCAAAGCTAATTGATTCGTTTGGTTTGCATTTGTTCCTTTATAGTTAATTTCAGTACTGATATATATACATTTTCTTGGTTCGTATCAAGTTATATCACGTATCCTTAGAGCCACGTATAAATTCAACTGTTATCAATTTTTTTTGGATAAACAATATTAAATGGTCGTAAAAGTATATAAATTTATATATATTGAGAGCGTGTCATTTTCCTATTTATTAATCTATTGGATATGATAAAGTAGTGGGAGTGTGGGGCTACTTAGAAAATGGTGTAATAATTTCGAAAGGCCAGTGAGGATACCATTCTGAAATAGGCACGTGAGAAGTACGGTGGTCGGTGGGTGGGATATTTATAACATGGCCTTTGTACGATTCTATTTGAGATGTCAAATCAAATTGGTATGTTATATCCAGCGGCGGATGCACCTAGGCCCAAGTCTCATTCCGGTGGTCCAGCGTCTATCTCTCAAACAGAAGGTCGGGTGTTCGATACCATATGCCTGCAATGAGTTGACTAATTAAAAGGAGATGCTTCTGTTTGCACGGGTTCGAACTGCCGGCCCTATTACAAAATACAAGGAACAAGCCAGTAGACCAGGCACAATGGATGCTGAATTATCTATTAAACTCTTTTACGATTTGCTATTTTTTAATGTGTTGGCTTACTGCTACTCTACTTGGCTTTCCATTTCTCTTGTCATCTCCCCTTAACTTCTATGTCCGCTTACGTAAAATCTTGCGTACGTTACCGGTTACATCATGCATTTCATGTGATGAAATTGGAAAGGTAAACTACAAAATTTATAGGCAAATGACAACAACTTTACCAGTTACGTCAAAGCTTTACTTCTGAACTACAAAATTTACATTTGTAGGAAATAGTTTTCGGAAAAGGCAAGAAGAGTCCTTATTAGAATCTTAAGGACAATGAGTTAAAGGTGAAAATATACGTTGAAGTTAACACACAAAAAAATACTACTTATGTTGAAAAAAATCAAATAGTGAAAATATATGATAAATCAATGTACAAAAAATATACTTATCTTAAAGCTTTTCAGATTGTGGTAGCTAAAGAATACAAATTATTGTAGATGCGAGCAAGAAAAATTAGTCTTGAAAAGTGCATACAGTGTATGAACAGATTTAACTTATTAAACATCTATGTACCTACCCTATCATCATTAATTATTTTATATTTAGTAAATAAACAATAAAGAATTACGGGCACTAAATCACGTGGAAAATTCTTAATCTCGAAGTAAACATGATCTTCAAACATGTTTTACACATGTCCTTTGCACACCAAATTACTATCGGTTGCATCAAATAATTTTAATGGTGGAGTTCGAGCCTCTCCTAACGTGCCTTCAAATCAAACAGTGCCAAGAACCAGAAACACCTCAAGGGAGGAGTTCAGATCGATTGATAACCAAGCAGGTGGTGCAGGCAGCTAATCCGAAAATGAAAACAACACAAATGATCATTTAAAACCGAGCTCATGAGGTTCACGAAGGAAATGAATGATCTAATAGATCAAAACGCTAAAGAATTCCATGTTCGGATGGATCAGATCCTGGGGCACCTCCGGTACTGAAGGGCCCGAACTCAAAGAAGTATACTCAATTGCCGTTCAAACCAAGTGCAGCCTCAGAGTTGATTCCAAAGAGATTCAAGATGCCGGATATTCTAAAATACAATGGAAATTCGGATCCACATGAACACATAACCTATACTACGACTGTGAAGGAAAATGATTTGGCTCTGCATGAAAACGAATAAGTTTTGCTAGAGAAATTTGTCGAAACCCTAACAAAGGGAACTTTAACTTGGTATTCACTCTTAACTAAACATTTATTTGATTCTTTTGAAATGCTTGTAGATTCTTTCATCAAAGCTTATGCTGGGGCAAGGAAAGTCCAAGCCAGGAATGCGGATATATTTAGAATCTCAAATAATTTAATCAGTACAAAAATTATCTCTGTGTTCTTTCTCCTTCTCTTGGCTTACGACGATAATATACCACATGAACAATATATGCACAATATAATATTTAGCATGTCCTAGTTTGACCTGGCATAAATTTTAATAAAGAAAAAAAGACTTTTGAGTAATATGGTCTTAAATAAGTCATAATATTTGTGTGGCTGTAAAACTTTTGAAACTTGTAGTCTTAAACCTAACAATAATATTTATGTGGCTATAAATTCTTCTAATTTAGGAAATATTGAAATGTATCAATCTTTTTTAAATGGACTAATAAGAAAATGATGTCAAATCTTTTTTAAACGGACGTAGTAAGTATATATTATCCTCTCTTTTTCTTTTTGATAGTTATAAAATCGAACTTTAATCAGATTAAAGATCTCGTGTGTTATTCTATTAAGGTCAGAGTAATTTATTCCAGATTCCTGAGGAACTTATTCTTCTAAAAATATATCAAAATTCAATAATGTTCAAAATAGTAGAGCAGGAACTTAAGGAAATCAAGAATAAAGCAGATAAAAAGCTGCTGCTCAATCTTAAATAATGTCTTCTATAACAAAAGACCAACTTATAGTTCCAGGTAAAGCCTATTACTAAGCATTGGAGTCTACAAAACATACACCATTTCCAGCAGAAATTTCAATTCTTGGCCCTAATAGAATTATTTTCCTTGATCCTAGCTCGGGTATCCAGCTTGACAAAACGTTTGAGATCGTCGTAAGGGAGAGACTCGAGATCCTTCCTCCTCAGTTCGCTAAGTGCCGGGCGTTTATCCAGTAGGTGCCACAGCCAATCTGGGTATTCTGAGTCGGCCAACACTTTTGGATCTGCTCCATCCTTGAGAATATTTGCCCCGACGACTGTACTGGCCTTGACTTCTTTGCTAATCGATGATGCCTTTGGAGCATCTGAAGCACCGCCACCTTTTCCGCCCTTCTTCTTACCACCCCCAACAGCAAATGTTCTGCAGCCTCCTATTTGAATAACCTCCTTGAGAAAGTTAGCGTTTCTCAATGATTTGATATAACTTAATGCCATAGTCCTTATCCCCCTGCAGCATCAACCAGAATAAATCGTGTCACAACGTAATTTCTTGTGCGGAGTTTCTAACTCAACATTTGCCAAATTCAACAAAATCCCCTAACATAGGAAATGAACACAAACTGACTCAATAACAACGCTCAACAGAACCTTTGCAAGTTAGAAGGGGCCAAAACAGTGACAAGATTTACCACTTAACAGTTTAATGTAGCTAAAAACACAGGCAGAGGAATGTAGTTATATTTAAATATTATCTATGAGTTACTACACAGAAAATAAACGATAAAAAGCACGGTAGACCTCCCAAAACCTTTCCAGTCCTTGCTCCTACAAAATCCCGTGTCTTCGATGGACAGCTTCTAATACTCAACAACGTCCACCTTCAGTCCATAGCGCCAAAAAGTTTCTTGACTGTACAGACTATATACACGGTTGCACCAAATGAATCAGTGGTAGCCTAATGTGTTATAAGGCCTTTATGAGGACCTTTCTATTTTCATGTTAATGATTTCATCCAGAAAGAGAAGAAAGGGAAAAGTAAAAGCCCCACCCGGAATCCTTCTTGAGAATACAACAAAACAACGATGCCTCTATTCTAATCTAGCTGGGCTCGACTATATAATTTTCACTAGTCATGTCGTTCCATTTGATCCCGTGTCAATCCTATTTAAAAAATTCAACTTCTCTAGCATGAGAGGTTCTCTACATGTTACTGGCATATAAATCTCTAACAAGACTAAAAGACTCCTAGAGTATATTGGACCAAATGCAAAAAAAAAAAAAAAAAAAAAAAAAAAAAATTCACAGTAAACTTAGGTTTGTTAAACTGCAAGATCGTCTGTTAACAGAATTAGGGAGGGCTTGGCTGTCACTGAACTGTTTTTGCTTTTCTTGTAAGAAAACATAAATGAAATGCAAAAAGAAGATGCCTGTTATATATTTTTACACTTGTTTTGCAACAAAAAGACATGAATTAGAATGAAGTGAATAGAAAAGTTAAAGAGCAAGGACAAGTGTCGTTAGAAAAGGGCAAGCAACAGATCAGCCAAACCACAAAATGAACAAAGATTATCAAGCACAATTGAAGTGGGAAAGGGGAAGGTAGCAATACCCCACCCCCACCCCCCCACCCCACAAACACATTTTCACTAACGAAATGGATGACAACTGACAAGAGCTTGAGATTTGTACAGAGGAAAAAAGAAAATGCAGAAGGGAGGCATAATTAAACCTTAAAAGGTGAAGGAAGAAAGGAATATAGTAATCAACAACAAGAAGACCTTAAGCTAAGACTTCATGAATGGACTTAAGAGCCATGAACAATTAGAACTTTCAGGACAATTTATTTCAAAAACTAAAGTAAGTTAATCTGAACATAGAAAATTGCATATAAAGGAAATATATCTGCTCTGGTTTTTTCGGAAGAACATAGTTTGCAAAATCTAGTGTTAGTGAGAGAGTTAATGCAACACCTTCTTCCTTCCCGTCTCTCCACTATCTTCTCTTTTGTATGTAAACATTTTTTGTATGCTTCCAAGTCATTTACAAAATAATCTTGGGAAAAACAAAGACAAAAAAAAATCATACAATACTCACTTTAATCTCTTCAAGTTGTGGTAAAGAATGAGCATTTTCACAAAAGATGCAAGATAAAATACTTTGCTAAACAAATACTGCCATTACCTGCCCAATAAAAGTGGCTAAAGGAAAAGTTTTCTGGAACATAGAGAAAAGGGCTACAAAACTATAAGTTGGAACCCTTTCTTTTTCATGACAATGTTGCCCGGACCAGCTTATGTGTACATCGACTATTCCACCGGGTACTTGCTACTTCCCACCAGCACAAGTACCAGATAACTCTTCCCACCAAGGGTTAGGCAGATATGAAGAAATCACCTAGTGTTTTTTTTTTTTGCCTCTCTTGGGATTTGAACTTGAGACCTCACGATTGTCCTCCCACTTCATTGACCACTAGGTAATACCCTTGGGTGCATAGTGGAGCCCTCAAGAACCAAATGTGTTTAAGATGTGAAAAATGGACGAACATGTGAAACTAGAAGGAGAGCAATAAGCATAATGAAGAATGAGGTCTTCCACCCAGTGGCGAAGCCACATGGTCACAAGGGTCTTCGTCGAAAAATTGCACTATGTATATAGGTAAAATATTACGTTTTAGAGGTATATAACACATATTGAAGACCCTTTGTCGGGAATTTTCTTCACTTCTTTTAAATTTGAATACTCTCGGGAAAATTCCTAGCTTAAACACTGCTTCCACCTATATTGTTGCTTTCAGATTAGTGAAGAATCAAAAGGTCCTAAGTAAAATATGGTAGTAGCACTATCGAGGATTCATCCTTTATATGATACCGATAAATGGATCTATTCTCGGATCAATTTGTTCGGCATCCGTTTTTCTCTTAAAATTCCTAGAACTGAATAGTGTTTATGTCGTTCTTGGCATTGACACCAGATCCAACTAGCTATTTGCATAGGAACCACATGACTACAAAACATCATGTGGCATATATAGTTGTATCGAAATCTAGCAATTAAGGTTGATAGATGAATAAACAAAATCAAGGTTTTTAATTGACATTGGCACATATAAGGATTCATTACTCTTGAAAATATAAAATATCTTCTGGTTTTCTGAAAATCAAGTCTATGAAGAACAAAATATGACACCCTCCAGTAAATTAGTAGATTCAGATCCAGTGACCAATTTAACTTATTGACTAATGGAAATATCCATTATGTTCTATCATGACATATTTATCCTTTAAAGAACTGGCCATGCGATCCCATCACACTCCAGTAACTAGTTACATTACATGGATCATTTACCGTGTCAAAAAGTCATGTATAGGTATTTTGTTCAGAATCTTCAAAGTACCCCAAAATTAGCAAAAACAAAAGTACACATACTCTATGGATACCCACCAATGTAATATAGTGACTATTCATCTTTGTAGCTGAATGATTACCCTAATAATAAATTCTATGACTCTCACAAAAGAACTGAAAACTCATAACAAAGTCAGAAAATTTTCATATTTTATCGGTACCTATACTTGTGGGAGCTAGCAATGTAATAGTTTATGTGACGCAAGCTGGTCGGGACACACCATTGTTAAAAAGTCATAATAGTGGCCTTTTTTTTTTAAAACTTTTTCCTTCTTCTAAGAGAAATATATGTAGAAATGATTACTACTTTCCGGGAAAAAACATTACTACCTTGCAGTTATTATCACGAGAAAGCAAACAATAGAGCATATTAGATTGTAATATTCACAAAATAGTGTCAAATTTTGGAGTTAATGGTTAATTTATGCAGTGAGAGCAAACATTGTTTGCAAAATTAAAGTAAGTTAATCCAAAAATAGACAACTACATATATAAGAAAGATATCTGCTCTGGCTTTCTAGGAGGAACATTGTTTGCAAGATCTAGTGTTAGTGAGAGAGTTGATGCAACACCTTTTTAGCTCTCCACTATCTTCTCTTTTGTATGTATACATTTTTTTTATGCTTCCATGTCATTTACAAAATAATCTTGGGAAAAACAAAGACAAAAAAATCATACAATACTCACTTTAATCTCTTCAAGTTGTGGTAAAGAATGAGCATTTTCACAAAAGATGCAAAATAAAATACTTTGCTAACCAAATACTGCCATTACCTGCCAAATAAAAGTGGCTAAAGGAAAAGTTTCTGGAACATAGAGAAAGGGGCTACAAGACTATAAGTTGGAACCTTTTCTTTTTCGATGACAATGTTGCCCGGTACAGCTTATGCGCAAATCGACTATTTCACCGGGTACCTGCTACTTCCCACCAGCACAAGTACCGAATAGCTCTTCCCACCAAGGGTTAGGTAGATATGAAGAAATCACCTAGTGTGATTTTTGCCTCTTGGGATTTGAACTTGAGACCTTACGATTGTCCTCCCACTTCATCGACTACTAGGTAACAGCCTTGGATGCATGGAGGAACCCTCAAGAACCGAATATGTGTTTAAGATGTGAAAAATAGAAGAAGATGAGAAACTAGAAGGATAGCAATGAGCATAACGAAGAATGAGGTCTTCCACCTATATGTTGCTTTCAGATTTGTGAAGAATCAAAAGTTCCAAAGTAAAAGATGGAAGTAGCTCTATTGAGCATTCATCATATAAAGACAGATACCGATAATGAGATCTATTCTTGGATCAATTTATTCAGCATCCGTTTTTCTTATAATTCCTAGAACTGAATAGTGTTTCTGTAGTTCTTGGCATTGACACCAGATCCAACTAGCTCTTCGCACAGGAACGACATGTGAATATAAAACATCATGTGTCATGTATAGTTGTATCCACACTCTCCACTAAATTAGTAGTTTCAGATGTAGTACCCCCATTTAACTTATTGAGTAGCGGAAATAAGGATGATGTCCTATCATGACATATTTATCCTTTATAGAACTAGACAGACGATCCAATCACACTCCAGTAACTAGTTATGATCATTTACCGTGTCAAAAAGTCATGTATAGGTACTTTGTTCAGATTCTTCAAAGTACCCCAAAATTAGCAAAAAGAAAAGTACACGTATCACTATTAGATACTCATCAATGTAATATAGTAACTATTCATTTTTGTAGCTGAATAATTACTTTACTCTAATAATAAAATTTATGACTCTCACAAAAGAGCTGAAAACTCACAATAAAGTCATAAGAATTTCATATTTTATCGGCACCTACATTTGTGGGAGGTAGAGATGGCAGTGGGGCGGGGCGGGTTCAACCTTAACCCGCGAAGATTTCAACCCGCACCGCCCCGCATAACAAATTTTCAGTTTTCAACCCGACCCGACCCGGCCCGCATAAGCCCACCCCACCCCACATAGCAACAGTTTTCTTCTTTTTTTTTTCAATTTTAATGAGTAATTTTTGCCCTATTATTATATTACTAGTGGTGGCATTTTCCCTTGCCAAGAGTAAGAAATCAACGTATTAATATGTAATTTTTTTTTCTGTATATGGTCAGCTTCTAAAAATTTGTTGTACCGTTTTCCTCGATTAGTATTTGAATATTCTTCTATGATTATACAAATGTCTAAAGCTTCCTATTCTTATTTACATACATAAAATTATGAGAAAGAGCAAACAATAATTTGATCTATGGGACAAATTCAGTTAAAAATTATCAAAAAATCACAGCAATCCACTACGAGATTTATACTATCTAAGATTTTTTGGTGAATTGCTGAGTGTTTTTAATACAAAAATAAGATTTTGGTGTATTTTGTTTGGAGCAGCTGAACAAAAACAAGATTTTGTATTCATGAAAGTCTATTAATCATCTTTCAGATTTTTAAGTCTTTCTTGACAAATTAACATTTTTAATATTAAAAAAAGTCAATTATATATGACTGATAGCCAATGGAACTATGGAAGAACCATAATTTTGTGAGAAAAGCAGCAAATTCACGATGGTGTATGACAAAAGTACCTCACCCGCAACCGCCCCGCAACAGCATCAAGATTTTAAAAAATGTTTGCACCAGCCCCGCACCCGCATAAGTCTAAACCCACCCCGCCCCGCATAAGCTTAAACCCGTCCCGCCCCGCACCCGCCCCATTGCCATTCTTAGTGGGTGGTAGCAGTGTAATAGTCTATGTGTGACGCTCAGGGGTGGATCCAGCTTAGTAGGTGTGGGTTCTCGTGAATCCAGTAACTTTTGCACATACCGAGTATATGTATTAAAAAATCTACTAAATATCAATAAATATTTGATCGTGAACCAAGTGTACCTATTGTATATTTACTTGAGGTCGTTGTAGGAACCCATAAACTTCAAATTCTGGATCTGCCTCCGGTGACGCAAGCTGACCGGGTCACACCATTGTAAAAAAGTCATATTTGTGGCTTTTCTTTTCTCTTTTTTTCCTTCTTCTAAGAGAAATATATGTAGAAAAGATTACTACTTTCAGGGAAAAAAAGTTACTACTTCGCAGCTATTATCACGAGAAAGCAAACAATAGAGCATATTAGATTGTAATATTCACAAAATAGTGTCAAGTTTTGGAGTTAAGGGTTCATTTCTGCAGTGAGAGCAAACACACACACAGAACACTACAACCCATTTCACAGTTTCTGTAATTGACAACTAAAAGTCGTCACTAAGAGATTAGTAGGAAATATAAAGACTGATGAAAAGGGGAACTTACAACTCAGATTTCGCCGGAGGAAGAAATGGAGAGCAGCAACGGCGGCTCTAGGGTAAGCAAGAGATAGAGAGAGTTTATATTTGTAATTATTAATAAAAGATTTCAGATTTTAATATTTTTAAAAACATTAAAAAATTTATTTTAAAAATTTTGGTAGAGGTAGTATTGATTGAGTTAATAAGATAATTTTATTCTGATACTAAATTAAATAATAAATTTATCTTCTCATTGATTTTTTTTTATATGTCGTTTTTTATGTTTCTTGCGATTTTACTTTCTAATTTCAACTCAAATTCTCTAAATTAACTATTTCTTTAGTCACATTTGATTGATCCACATATTATAAAGTAAGTTTTTTTGTGACTCATCTTTTTCAACTAGGAAATCCCTGAAACAAGTATTGAAAGGTTCAAAAAGCAATGTGCAATGAGATCACCCATCTATCATTTTTACTTATTAACATATTTTTATATATGGTAAGCAACCTCCACTTCCAATCAAGAGGTTATGAGTTCGAGTCACCCCTAGAGAAAGGTGGGGAGTTCTTGGAAGGAAGGATGCCGATGGTGTATTGAAAACAGCCTCTCTACCTCATGGTAGGGGTAAGATCTGCGTACACACTACCCTCCTCAGACCCCACTAGTGAGATTATACTGGGTTGTTGTTGTTGTTGTTGTTGTACCATATTTTTATATAGGTGCATGATGTGCGCCTAACCCACACATAATGCATTGTGCTCTCACAACTAGATTGAGGCTATGTAGGATTTTTTTTTGTGTGTCTCAATATTATATGAATTTTATGTATATATTTTAGTTTTAGGCCACCAGCTCCGTTAAGTCACCCCTAATTGATGATTAACAATTATCTATAGACCACTGCCCCATGAACGTGCTATTCAATCAGCTTCATTTATATTTGGTAACTGAAGGACACATTATGTGCCTTTAATGTTCTTGTCATTATTGTCCTATCTTAATTGTGAATCCATAAAATTTGATTGAGAATACCAGGAGTGGATAGGTGGCTCTAGTAGAAGACTAGTATCCTTGATTTATGCCCTAAAATTTTTAATAATAGATTTAATAATTTTATTTCAATTAGACAATATAAAAAATTGCATAAAAAAAATAAAAAGTACAAAAATTTCATAAAAAAGAAAGAAAGAAAGAAAGAAAGAAAGATTTTTTACTCTTCAAAAGTAAAAATATTTTAGAACTTTAATTTAAACTACTCAAATCTTCATACTAGTAAGTATAATTTTTACAACAATATCAAAAGTAACATATTGCAAATACATGTCTAACATCTTATCTATTTATATTATTCCTTACTAATACAAATAATAATATTACTATATGAAATTAAAGTTTTTATATCATTTAAGAATGTCATACTATAAATAAAAAGTATGAAAATGGCAATACTAACTTTTCTATATATATATATATATATATATATATATGTACTAATAAAAAAAGTATAAGATATTGCACTTAAAGTAATCTCTTATTAAAATTTGGCTTTAGATAATTAATTTTATAAAGCCACCCTTTGAGAAAATAAAAGGTACTCAATTCAGTCGAAAAAGAAAATCTTGAAAGAGTTATTTGAAATTGGGCTGAAATTCTTTGAACTCGGTATGTTCTAGATACATAGGGTCCAAACTTCTATCACTAGGCCCAACTATTTTTTTCCCTTACATTAGTTCATGAACATGCGCCTTACGCGTGTATCTCATATCAATAAATACTTTAAACAATCACGTAAATATTATTAAACACTAAATCATACTTTGTGACGGGTGTTACATCACAAATTTCTTTCCAGCAACCTAAAGCACCCTCATGGAGCCAGTAATTGCCATCAACTGTGATGGTACATTCTTTAAAGTGAGTAATATTTTTCTTTTCTAAAACTGGTTTTACAAGTTTAAGAAGTCCACGTATACCCATCTTTTCAACAAGTCTTTAATGTAGTTCTTGAGAAATGAAGAAGTTGAATGTAATGTGGTTTCCGGAATGAAATTCTAAGAAGATGAAAGTATTCCGTATTCAAAATATCATGGGTTGATTTCTATTATTTATAAGGGTAATTTCTGTCTTGTAGACTAAATTTGAATTATAAAATAAAAAGGCAGTGTAAGTTTCTGAATTTTTTTATGAAGGCTAAATAGGTGTACGGCCCCTTAAACTTGGCTCCATTTTTTATTTTGACATCTTAACTAAGCCCATTACCTATTGAACACTTCAATCCAAATCAATGTATGCCTATTAAACACAAAAAGTGACATGGCAAGAGAGTTGTATTTCACACCCTCTTACGCGTGTGAATTTAATGGGTTTGAGATCATATATATATTTTTTTTAAAATCAAAATTGACTTTTTCTTCTAAAGGCCACCCATAACCACCTGATCCCCGACGAGTAACGAAAGCAGAAGAAGAACGACAATAAATGTTATTGCCGGAATTAATGGAGATCGCCGGAAAAGTCAGAACTCCGGCCAGGTCCAAAGAGGCGACAAACAACAGTAATATGTTATCAAGGTTTTAACATTTATACACCAACCACAAAATCAGTAATAGACAGAACACGAATGAATCTCCGATACCACAACGATGGAAGACCATAAATGGTGATAAATGTCGCCGATTTTAATGGTCGCCCCCGAAATATTAAACGTCCGGTTATTTCTTTCAGTTATGCTCTTTTATCAGTTAAAACAACAACGAAACAGAATAATAGAGATAAAGGAGGAAAGGAAATGAGCAATGGCCGGTGGTTGCTAGAATCGCCGGATTCTTTTTTTTCTCAACTTGAATTTTTTCTTCTCTAGTTAGCTAAAAGAAGGGATTTTCAACCCAAAAAAGAAAGAAAAAAAATTGACATAAATTTCTCCCTTCCCCAGATCTGAAAATCCAAAAACGGTACCTGTATTTGTTCCTTTTGGCAGGTGAAAACGGTAGTTTTCTGGTGGTTGAAGAGCCAAGGAGATTGGGGAAGGCGGAGGTGGGTTTCTATGGAAGGGGCTGGTGGGATTTTATGGAATGAAAAAAGAAAGAGGTGGTTGGGAAGAAGGTGACGGTGGGAGGGGGGTGTTTAAAATAAATCTTTTTTGTTTTCAAATTTTCTTTTTGACTATTTGGACCCAAATACCACGTGTTTCCCTCTTATTTGTCATTTTGCTAAGTCATTCATGTGTGAATTACACGCACCTTATTATTTTTATTGGTTATGAGTAAAGTATTCAATAGATCATTTTATATAATATTAAAGTGTCCAATAGGAAAAACATTAAGTTAAAGTATCAAAATAAAAATTGGAGCCAAGTTTAAGGGGTCGTACACCTATTTGGCCTTTTATGAATGTTAATTCTATAAAACTTGCTCAATAAAGTAAACAATCAAGTCTCCTGAAAGTCCTTAAATGATTTAATTATTGGCTTTGCCTCAAATTACTTACTATACTTTTTAGCTTTGTCTCCGATCACTGAAGTTATCAATTGCCTTCTTGGTTTCTTTCATGATAAATTAAGACAACACCAGGTGTCTATCTGTCACAGGGTCAATTTGGGTCAATTTTTCGCACCTGATTGACACTGGACGGCAGCAACCTGACACCCAAGTTACTCAGCCTTTCCCAACACTTGGCCAACTTTTCATCAAGTTTGGCCTTAAACAAGATTCGGCAGCAACATAAAGAGAACACCATCAGTTACGGAAAAAATCCAACCTTTGTATTAATAATAAAATATACAAAGGACCTCTCTTTGCCATGAACACAAATTATTCATAGCCCACTTCGTCCGACCAAGATCACAAATAGATCTTGTCACACTAAGACCTGCCAACGCCCCAGCCTTAGCCCACTTTTGGAAATACTTAGAAACCCTCACGTTTCTCGCTTGTTTCCCACTTTGCTATGAACACAAGTCATTCATAGCTACTAAGACCTGTCTACGCCCAGCCTTATCCCACTTTTGAAAACACTTAGAAATACTCACGTTTCTCTCTTGTTTTTCCACTTTGCAAAGATCACAAGTCGATCTTTGCTCACTAAGACCTGCACTCGCCCAGCCTTAGCCCTCTTTTGGAAACACTCACAAAGCATCACCTTTCTATCTTGTTTCCTACTTAGTCATGATCACAAGTCGATCTTGACATACTAAGACCTGCCTACGCCCCAGCCTTAGCCCACTTTTGGAAATACTTAGAAACTTTCACGTTTCTCTCTTGTTTCCTATTTTGCACAGATCACGAGTCGATCTTGCAAACTAAGACCTGCTCAACGCCTAGCCTTAGCCCATTTTCAGAAATACTTAGAAACACTCAGGTTTCCCTCTTGTTTCCTACTTTGCACAGATCACATGTCGATCTTGAAAAATAAGACCTGCTCAACGCCTTGCCTTAGCCCACGTTTGAAACATTTAGAAAAATTCACCTTCCTAACTTGTTTCCCTTTCTTTGATATGAACACAAGTCGTTCATAGCCCACTTAGTGAAGATCACAGGTCGAGCTTGACACACTAAGACCTGCCCATGCCCAACTTAGTTCTACTTCGTCTTGGAGACCTTCTCCATCACTGAAGAGCCTCTCCTTCTGCTTGGAGACCCTCTCCTTCTTTGAAGACCCTCTCTTTCTTTGGAAGCCTCACATCTGACCCTCATTTTTCTCTGGAAGGATCACATTTTGAACACCCTCACTTGATCTAAGACTAATCTTAGTCTTGATGATCTTCTTCACGAAATGCCCCCATATATAGAGATATAGGGGCTGCCACTAGCAGATTTGAAGGGACAACTTACAAAGGGGCAATTCCATCCTTGTGCTTTGCCCAGTCAAAGCACTAAATAAGCACTTAACCATTTAATGGTGTACTTACCCACGAAATGGCCCTCTTCAGCACTTACTCTATTATGTGGAGCACTCAGCCTTGTTTGTGTACCACTTAGCTCTTTGGTTGAGCACTTAGCCCTTTGGTGGAGCATTGGTCCCACAACCCACTGAACCAAGCCTTTTACACAGCTTTGCTAAATCTGATCCTATCTAGTAGTTGACATCCCCCAACTACATAGGTCATTATCTTACACG